TTGTGCTTTCTATAAAACATATATTTATGTATTTAAAACTCTCATGCTGTGCCTCATGCTGATCCTCTAGAGGGCTTTGAGAAGCTATAAATCAAATGGGAAATTACTCATCTTTCTCCCTTGAATGTATTGGTGAATTCTATCAGCTCCCTTTAGGTGAGCAGTGTAATGCCTGATATCCTAGGCCACCAGAGCTCCCTCTACTTACAGGAATTTAAAAAAAATTGTTAAAAAATAACCAACATTTCTGAAAATTAAACCATCTGGATCTAGAGTGATAAATATACATTTGTTTATCTAAGGGAGATCTAAAAATCATTAAGTCTAAACACCCATTTTTCCCCCTAAAAAAGAATATAAGTTCTCTTTAAGTGAACAGTAGCACCAGTTGCTCACTCAGTTTCCTAACCAGAAAACTGAATCAATTATCAAGTACTATTAATCCTATCTTTTTAAGAAATAGTTCTGAGTCAACTTCTTTAGGCTCACTGTCATTATTTTAGTTCAGATCTTAATCATTTCACACATCCAGAATCCTACAATGTAGTTTCCTTTCTTCCAGTTGGAATCTCTTTACCAATAAACTCATATTTTTTCTGTTGATAATAGAAAAACTTTTAAATATTATGCTACTTTCTGTCTTAAAGATTTCTACCTTCATAGATTTCAGGATAAAATCCAAACTTCTTAACATGCCTAAAAGTGTACATATCAGGAGAACTAGTAAAGATTAATTGCTCGGCTCCTAACAGAAAGGTTAATGGTTGAAACTCAGTGGATTTTGTGTTTTTATTTTTGTTAGGTGCCTTTGAATTGGCATGATAGTCAGCAACTCTATGCACAGATTTGAACCCTGCCCTATTCTGTGCCACCTCATAATCTGAGCCCATTGTTGCAATCACTGAATCAATCCAGCTCATTAAAGGTCTTCCTCTTTATCTGACCCTCTCTACCTTTCCTAGTATGATGTCCTTCTGACAACATGCTCAAAGACAGATTTGTTCATTCCTTTGACAGTCCATTCAGTATTATGTGCCAACTACACTGATTTAAGGAAGAATTAAGCTGGCCAAAAGTCAGGCAATGTAAATCAATAAGAGCTCAAGCTTTGAAAACTCAATTGAAGGCTGCTATGAATCAGAATGGAATGGATGACCGCGAGTAAGACAGACTGCTACATCTTCATCCAGTAGAGTGAAGTGACTAGTGTATTTAAACTACTGATTTTCATTTAGCATCCAAGCATGTAACACACTATGCCACCAGTGTCTCTTTTTTCTACACTGAACTTCATTTTTATGAGTTTTCCTCTTTTAAACACTTTGTTTTTGTTTTTGTTGTTATTGTTGTTGTTGTTATGTGCCATTGAGTCTCTTGTGACTCATAGCAACGCTGTGTACAAGAGCCCTAGACCCTGCTCTCTCCTGTGCCAACCTCACTGTCTCTGATACACTCACTCCCACCACTCCAATCACAGAGTCAAAGCAGCTCATCAAGGGTCTTCCTCTCCTGCGCCGAGGTTGTTAAATACTTTACATATTTTTTCACAACTAGGAGTTCTGCTGTATTAAGTATTTACAGTCTTGAGCATTTCTATTCTGTCTCATAGAGTAGCTATGACTCAGACTTGATTTTAAAGCACGGGATTTTAGTGAGTTTTATTTTATATAATCAGGTGCTCCAAGTACTTCTATAGAGTATGTTATCATTTAACATATTGTGTTAGGATTATAAGGCAAATAGATTTAAATGTTATATTGTTTATGTAAAAGTCATTACTATTAAAAAAACAAAAACAAAATCACCCCAAAAATTTCATCACTATTGAGGTTGCACCAACTCACAGGCTGACCCTTCAGTGAGTTTCAATGGTTCAAAATCACACAGGAGTATACCACTTATCATTCTCCCACTAAAATGCTGGTGGAATAAAAGCACCAGAGAGCTGCAGTCTTTGGGTTAACAGAGCAACTTCCTGAGGGGTAGGCCACTAAAGTCCAATTACACATTTATACATGTATTGACTACTTAAGACAAGGTTTCTAGAATTTAAAGTACCCTTCTATATTATAAAATGATTTTCAAAAGTAATATACTTATGTTATTTTGATTCTCTAGCCACATTTAATTACATTTTAGGTAAGTAATTACTAAATATCAAACAATTAATTTTAGCAACTTTGTCATTCTTAATTTCCATTTCATAATCAGAAAACTCATTAGATCAAAGCTTCTTTCTAATCAAAATGTTATGTAATTATATGAAGTAAAAATTCTCTTGATACCTCTTTTTTACAATTATATTGCTAGAATATAATTATAGTAACAGTCCTAGATATTGACTAGACATAAAAGAAAATTCCTGGCATATGCAATAAATAGTGCATTATTGTTAACAATTAATGGGCTAACCCTATTTTAACAATGAAAACAGAGGATTATTTACTTAGATATGAATTCCTTAAACTTGGTGTATAAAAGTTCAAATCAAATTAAGATTGTTGTTGTTGTTGTTGTTGTTATGTGCCGTTGAGTCGCTTGCGATTCATAGCAACCCTATGTACAACATCCCTAAACTCTGCTCTGTCCTGTGCCAATCGCACCGTCTCCAGTACACCCATCTCCATTATCCCAGTCACTGAATCAATCCACCCTACCAAGCATGATGTCCCTCTCTAAGGACCTGACCCTCCTTGCAACATGTCCAAAGTATGTTAGATGGAGCCTTAAAATCCTTGCCTCCAAGGAGCAGCCCAGTTTGACCCTTTCCAGGATGAATCTGTTTGTTTTCCTAGCAGTGCATGGTACCCTCAATACTCTTAAAATTTTAAAATGCCACCTTTAAAGTACTGTTTGTCTTTGATGAGTGTTACAGAATGGTTAAGGAGCTCTGGTGTCCTTACTAGGACATAAGGAGTTGTGCTGCCAACCAAAAGGCAGGAAGTTTAAATCTACCAGCTGCTCCTCAAGGGGAAAACTGTGTAATAATCCTCCTTGCAATTTATAGCCTCAGCAAATCTGCTGGAGGGTCAGCTTTGAGTCAGTTCCAACTTGACAGTAATGAGCTTTTTCGAAATAGAATTCTTAAACTTCATTTATAGAAAAATAGTAAATTGAGGTCACATTAGATTGGAAATTTATGAGTAAAAATCAATTCATAGCAGATCCTCCAATGGGTTTCCGATGCTATAAATCACATCGGAGGAACATGAAAATAAATTTCTCCCTCAGAGCCAAGACACTGCCTTTTGAGTTAGCAGTGCAGCTCCCTCTGGACAAGATCAGTGGAGGCCCATCACATGAGAACAGCAATCAAGAAAAAATGAAAGTCCAGTGTGAAAAACAATGTCTATGAGCTCTGTAAGTATAAAATAAAAATTAAAAAAAATTCATGAAAGTAGTGTAAACAAAGGACTATGTTATGCTATCACTGATAAATACCATCAACTTGGAATTAACTCCTAGCTAACTCGCCAGAGGGTTCTCACAGGCAGTAAATTACCCTGGAGGAGACTTGCCTATCTTTTTCCCATGGAGCAGTAGGTGGATTAAAACCCAGTGTCTTTTCAGTTGGCATTGTATGTCCTTACCCTAAGGTACCAGAAAGTCCTCACATATTGTATTAGAAGAATAATATTCCACAGGACTTGGTAAAAATATAAGATCTATTTCTTATTTGCTGCATTGTAATTCTTTTCAGTTAAATTGACATAGCCTGTACTCTATTTCTTTTTTTAAGATTTTCATGTAAGGTTATAAAGAACTTGGATTTCTATTCATTCATTGTTGTACATTTTCCTCCCTGCCCTCCCTCCGCCACCCCCAGTTCACTTTTTTCTTGGCATAAAAAGTTCTTTAATTGTTATATAGTCATGTCCACCCACCCCCCATCCCCCCGAGCACTTTACTATGCAGCTCTTATTCTGGATTCCTGTCATGCCAACAATACCTAATTATGTATTTCTTTTATACAGTTCTCTCCCTCATCTGTTTCAATGCTGTGTATATTATTTATCCCCTCTTTTCTTAGTTTCCCCCAAACCTCCATGTCAGTCCTGTTTTCTAACAGTGGTACTATGCAGTACAGTGGTACTATGCTGTATTTGTCTTTTTGTGACTGAGATATTTCACTCAGCATGATATCCTCCATGGTCACCCATTCTGTATAATATTTCATGAGTTCTTTGTATTTTAATTCTGCATAATATTCTTGTGTGAATATATCACAGATTCTCTATCCATTCATTTGCTGACAGGCATGTGGGTTGTTTCTAACTCTCTGCTATTGTGAACAAAGCCACAATAAACATGGGTATGCATCTATCTGCTTGGGTGGTAGTCCTGGTTTCTTTGGGGTATATTCCCAGTAGTGAAACTGCTTGGTCAAATGGTATTTCTATCTGCAACTTTTTGAGAAAGCACCATACTGCCTTCCATAGTGGTTGCACCATTTTATACACCCACCAACAGTGAATAAGGGTTCCAATTTCTCCACAACTTCGCCATAATTTGTTGTTTGCTGCTGTGTTGAATTTTGCTATTCTTACTGGGGTAAGATGATATCTCATAGTTGTTGCAGTCTATTTTAAAGGAAGCAAGGAATAATTAGCAGAATGCTGATTCCTAATTATAAAAATAATTATACTTACTGAAGAATTAAAGAGAAGAATTATAGTTTATTTTGCACACTAATGGTGATACATAATATGTTTGGGGTTTTCTTCTCAAGCAGATTTTTTTAATCAATTAAACAGGAAAGGGCTCTGTGTTGATACTTGTAATATTTTTCTCAGAAATGTAATGTTAAGGGAGGATAAATTCTGTGAGTGCTTATCTATTCAATTAGGTTAACTGGGGATTAAAGAATGTCCTAACATATCTAAAGAGTCAATTGTAAAAATAAAAAACAATTTCTGAGAACCAGTCTCCTTTATCAACATACTTAACCATGTTAATATACTAAGCAAGTTTTTGTAGAAATGAAAAACGTCATACTTTACCTTGATTTCTTCTATTTCATCAGGTACTATCTTGTACGCTGATATAGTCCCACCCAATCTGAAATAAGGAGAAGAAAACAATCTCAAAATAGGTAATTGTATATTAAATAATATAGAATATTTCTTTAATTAGCACAAGACTACTATCAATAATTATTAAATGACTACACCAATAATCATGAAATAACAACCATTTTGTGTTTATGTTATCCATACCTTACTAAAAAAAGAGGTAAATAATGACTACTGATAAAACACACATTAGATTTTAAAATATAACTAAATTTTGCTAATAGTTATAACAGTACTAAAGTTGTGAGTTTATGTGCTTTCTGTTAAAATTGACATGTGCTGTTAACTAACAGTAGTTGTGTTGCTTGTGTCTTTTGAAAAAATAATTAAAGAAGGAGTCGGATAGATGTGTGTCACAGTTATGGCCAAAGGAAAAGGATGTAAGCTCAGGCCTTAAAAACAGTCCCAAAAGTCTGGGATTACAAATAACTTCATTTATATCTGTTTTCTTTGAAAGAGTGATGCCACTAGATGTTATATTCACTAATTTGAAAAAGCAGCTAAAATTTATAAAGTACTTACCACATGCCAAGCACAGTACATAGTTAATTTCATTCTCACAATTACATTCAGTAATTTTTCCCATATAAGTAAAGGAGTTAGTAAGTAAGTATACTAATTAAGACTCAATAAGTGCAAAATTGTTGTTGTTTTTATGTGCCATCGAGTCGTTTCTGACTCATAGCGACCCTATGCACAACAGTTCTAAACCCTGCTCTATCCTG